TATATTTATTTTGATAGAGAGAAAATAATTTCTAAATATTCTAGTCATTATTTTTTGGCTAATTATTTAAACAGAATATTTTAATTTAGATATATGTATATATATATTTTTTAGGAAATATTTCATTTTACGTAACTATTATATTTTATACATCGATTATATACATCGAGATAACGATCAGAGTGGTATATTTATTAGGTAAAAAAAAAAAAGAAGAAAAAAAGATATATAAGTCTCGTTATGTAGTATTTGTGATCGTTCGCGTATATTATTCTAGAGCTTGCAATTAATATAATAATAATAATATAAAAAAAAATTAGAAAAATAAAATGATTGTTATCTAGTCTTTAGTCGCTTACATTTAATAGATTGCAACAACAAAAAATTGGTAATCATTTACATCATTCGTTTGTTTCGTTAATGTTAGATCGAACTAAAAGATTCTAATTTGATTACGATTCTCATATGATAACGTTTAAATAATTTGATTAGAAAATATTTTGTCGAGAAAAACAAAAAAAAGAAAGATCAATTATACGAAATGTTTCAATTATGTTGCATAAAAATGTTATGTTGTAACCAACAAAATAAAAAGAAAAACAAATAAAATGATTAAAAAATCATCTTACAATTATATAATTTATAAAAATAACTTTTGCATTAATCTCGTTTGATCAGGAAGATGACTATTATTACGTGACCTAACAAGATAACGAGAGTTAATTAAGAATTTTAATTGCAATTAAATACGCCAATCTTGAGAAACGTAACCAACATGAATTTTTTAACATTCGTATCTCTACATGACGTAATATATAATTATATAGTGTTCGTGGTTTTTCAAATTATCAATCATAGGAAATCGTAATAATCAAGTCAAAGGTGTCGACAATTCAATGGTGCATCGCAAATTAGTGCGTAAATGAAAAAAAAAAAAAAGAAGAAATTTATGTAAGAGAAAAAAAGAAGCATTACGGTGATAAGAAAACTGTAATATGTTAACAATACGATTAATATATATATATACAAATTATATGATAAATATTTAAATACAAAAAGTATAATTCATATATAATAAGAAAGATATAATATACTTATAAGTATTTTAATAGTTATATATATAAATTTAAAATTATAAATGCATAAGCTTCCGTTATTTTATTATTTATTTATGTTAAACGCGCGTTATTAAAAACTGACATAAATTGTCAGCGATGGGGGGTTCGTATTACATATTAATTTTAAGTGAATTGATTTAATTCAATTTAAATGCAGAATTTGTTTTCTGCGATTATTGAAAAGATATCAAATATATGCAAGAGTGTAAAAATTTCGTACGTAAGAGTTTAATAGAAATATACGATAAGTGTATATGTTATATGTGAAAAAACAAAATTGAAGAATGTCAAGATTCACATGGTTCGCGAAGTATATGTCCGAAATATTAATGTATAAGAATAAAATATGTATTGATAAGCGATTATGCGAATTTTGACTTTGTCCAATTTCAATCTTTCACGGTAACACATATATATATATATATATAAATACTTATTAAAAACTAGTCATATAAGTGTTTAAGTTATTTTATTGATTTTGTTTATCTTTAAACGTTTCTTTCCATCAGTGGAAGAATACGAGACAGAGTGCTTCTAGTCCCTAGTTTTTAAGAAAGACACCGAATATGAGATGTGTCAAAGATAAAGTAAAGAGAGAGAGAAAAAAAAAGAATATCACAAAGTACGTTTATCAATAAGTTTATATACTATAAGATTAAATTAAATGTAAAGGTTAAAGTGTTTCCAAATGAATATGCCAATTACATCGTGTACTATTAGATATAATATTATAATTAGAGATAATAATAATAATTAAAAATTCGTCTTTACTCTGATCGTTATCTATAATAACAATTGTTATTATTTTTTTTTTTATATTTTTTTTTATTTGTTCTTTCTCGTTACTTAATTAAATATCTTAATTATAAACATTTTCTCGATGGATTAAAACGTTAAAACTTTTACAATCGTTTATAACGTAAAGTATTTTAATTTTATTAATTTCTGTAATTGTTTTCATTGAATAGATAACGAAAATGATAAGAAATTCGAAACAAGGAAAAGAACAGGAAAAAAAAAGAACCAACGAAAAATTAGAACGTGACAAGTATGAAAAGAAGAACAAAAAATATGCATTTAAAAGTCTTTAAAACTAAACGACCAAAAAAGCTTTTCAATCGACGGTGTCAAAGGTCTGTTTGTGTTGGTACCTTAAACGGATTTTGGGCGAGTTTCTTTTCTGGAAGCTTGCACCAAGATATGTTATTTCCAGCTCGTGATCTCAAATACGCGTAATCGCACACAACACTGTTGCGATTCTCAGTACGGCGTTATTAAAAGAAGAAAAAAATATACAAAACAAAAAAAAATGACAAAAAAAAAAAATAAAATAAAATAAAAGAATTAATTAAAAAAAAAAACAATTATACGATGCATGTATAGCTCTTTACGTTATAGCGAGAATGTTAATTAGTGTGTACGCATAATAGTCGCGTGTACATGATAATTTTCACAGAATAAGAGAGAAACGAAAGTATGATAATGAATGAAAGAAAGAAAGAGAAAGAGAGAGAGAGAGAGAGAGAGAGAGAGAGAGAGAGAGAGAAAGTAAAAAATTAATAAACGTAGATTTTTAATTTAAGGTGGTAATAAACAAATCCAACTTGTCAGACATTCGATTTTCTTCAAAAAAAAACATTTAATTCTTTCACACTGCTTTTTATTTATTGTTTTTAAAAATTTTCCAAAAAAAAAAAAAATAGGATAAATATAAGAAATGATATCGAAAGATAATTGTCATAGTTAATCGAATAGTTTCGAGATATATTTATACATTACTTTGTATATTTTGTTATAGAGTGTTAGAATTTTATTTAAATTCAAATGAAAGAAAATTAAATAAATTCGAAGCAAATTGATGTATGCTTGACACCTATAGACGTTTTATGTTAATTTTGTAAAAATATCATCGTATCAAAGCTTAGATTAATTTACCCTTCCTTATTCTCCTGATCAATTAAAGGAGATGTTATTTATTTCCATGCGAGTATGAAGATGATGATGATGATGATGATGATGATGATAAAATTGTTGAACCAAGCGTCGTATGAAATATAAAAAATGAAATATAATATAAGAGAACAGGTGTAACGTAACTTAATAATTATTTTGTAAGAATTATAAAATTTTGTCGTATATATTACGAAACAATTTTAAAAATTGAGATTAAAGACACACACACATACACACACACGAGATGGTCAAATTGGATATAAAAGTGAAATAACATTAAAATATATTAGATATAGCGATTAATTCGATGGCATATTTGAACAAATTCAAATATATATTTATAAAGCATCTTTATTATTCTAATTTAATATTATTTTCTATGACACATCGGTTCAGAATCAACTATTAATCGAATTGTTTGACAGAGATATGAAAAGACTTAACGAATTTAATATCAAGAGATACCGAATTAATTGTTATAATTGATAATTAAATAACGAAATCGGAACAAGAAAAGAAATGCATTCTTACCTTGAAACTTGAACGATTATTTAAATATTCTATCGATATAAATATGAAAAGAAACAACAAGAACAACAAATCAATATATACGATTGTGTAAAACATCAAAAACACGCGTACGTTTTACGAAAATAATTTTTGTCTGTCACCCTCTTCTCCCCCCCCCCACCAAAAAAAAATTGATTAGACTTGCGAGTCTTATTGTAATTAACATTAACGTGGTATCTTTTAAACAAGATAATAACGATTACTACGAGACGATTTACGTTTTACGTCTGTGTGCGCTAAACATACCTATCCGCGATATGAAAGTATGTAGTTAACATAAAAAAAAAAAAAAAAAAAACAAGAAAACAATTAATAAGCAATGAAGCTCATTGCTATATTATCTAAGATCTAAGATTGTTCGTCACGATTCGACGAAGAAGAATAAAGATTTTGAAGAAAAATTCTATATAAGGCTATATATATATAATAATAATAATAATAATAATTTTAGGGCTACCAAATATGCAATAGTTTCCAATCGAACGCCGCGATTAGTATACTCATTTGCGTTTAAGATGTAATATCAAGAAACGAATGTATGAATAAATGAACGAACGAATTAATGAATTAATGAATTAATGAATGAATGAATAAATGAATAAAAAAAAAGAAATTAATTAACGATGCAAGAAAAGGAAAAGAAGAAAAAAAGACACCCACAGAGAAGAAAAAAAAAGATAAGAAAGAAACTAGGAGGAGGAGGAGGAGGAGGAGGAGGAGGAGGCGTATAAAAAAAAAAAGCATAATTTTTGTTCTCCTCGTTAAAATTAATCCAAGGCTGTTTAGTATGACGAAGCTGTATTTTAACGAAATGTTTAAGTTGATTTTCGAATAGAATTCATTTAGCGCGGCATCGTTGTCACGTGGACCTAACATTGAAAGCGCGGGAACATTTGAATGATGTGCATAAATAATGGATGATGATAAATAGTAATATAAATCTATTTAAAAAAAAGAGAACGAATGACGAAAGAAAACAAAATGAATTAATCGTCCGGAAAGAGAGAGAAAGAACTGTATTTATTTAGTTCGCTGCTGATCTGTAACATTATATAAATAATTATACATATAACGTTTGTTATTACGTATAACAAAACAAAAAATAAAAGAAGAAACCTTAATGTATAACTATAATATATTATATATATATATATACATGTGTACGTAATATTTAATTGTATTTTAAATCAACAATTGTAACCGTGTCGCGTTATAAATAAAAATAAAAATAAAAAAATAAATAATAATATTAATAATTATAATATTAATAATAATAATAATATACGCACGTAAATACCAAAAAAAAAAGAAACAGGTGGTAATACGAGAGATGATATATTTCGTCGTGTATCATACATAATTCGTAATTTCGAAAATATAAACAGATTTAATGTAAAAGAATAACAAAATCTAGAGCGAGTGAAATACTGTTAGCCAATTGTATCATTGATAAATTCTATGTATCGATAAATAATATAACATTGTTTAAGCGATGAAGAAACCAAACGATTTCCTTTTTTTTTTTTCTTTTTCTTTTTCTCCTACAGCACGATTCGTTTTGTTATATTAATCGATTCAATTTAAAATATTTTAATTATAATCGTATAATACAATTAATCGTCTATATGTATATATATATATCATGTTATTTAGCATACAATTATAGATAAGCATAATTAATTCTAACTTTCGGATCAATTTTCCAACGAGACGGCGTGAAAAAACAAAAAATAAAAGAAACCAATCATTTCCATGCCAACGTAGAGATCATTTATTATTATTATTATTATTATTATTTAGATCTAGTACCTTAAAAATTGACATTTTTTTTGTTCATTTAACAGATACATGTAAATCACTCGTAATAATTAATAATGATTAGACCGGTCCTCCAAATGTATACCTAATTAAATACATCCACCAATCATTATACGTCAAGTGATCACATCACGACCTACCCAAAACTGACGTAACTCTCCTGCTTTAACAAACTTCCCGTAAGTAACATTCCAATGTTGTATATTTTTGTCCGATCGATTGGCAATGACTTTTGGCAAATTTACTTTGCGAATATTCGAATCTCATTACATAACACAATGTACAATTTGATAATCAATCTTGACTGTTGCTAAAAGGAAACACGTTTCCGTTTCTCAGATAATAGTATAGCATAACTGTTACATATGATAAACAAACACACTATATATATAAATATCAATTGTAAAATCTTTTAAAATGCATGACATAGTTGATTAATATCTTTAATCGTTAGTATTAATGACATTAGATTAATTTATATAATATATCAATATCATTAAGATGAATTATTTTCTATTATTAATTTTAAATCAAACATTTCCTACTTAACAAACTATTACTATTTATATACCTAAAGAATTGATTTATCAACGATAGTGTAAAAATTAAAAGAAAATACGATTTAATTAAAAATTCAAAAATGAAATTAATATTTGTGAATGAAAACAAGATCAAATAAGACCAAATAAGTGTTCATATAAGTCACTGATAAATAGATAACATTTTGATAGATACGCTACTGGTAAAGTTAATTGCTATTGATGAAAGAGTAAAAGAGAAAGATTGTGTATAGAGAAATAGTTGGACGAGTAGAGAAGAAGGTAAAGCGTCGGCGCATTATGCGTGTTCGATAATGCCTCTTCTTCTTCTTCTTCTTCTTCTTCTCTTCCACAACTCGAAAGAGACCTGGTTGGCATCGACTCTCGACTGTTACCACCTCCATTGGATAGAAGAACACCATTACACCACCACCACCACCACCACCACCATCTCCCACTATAGGAAGTTTTATTCTGACCAACCGTTTCCATCATCAGCAAGCAGCAGCAGCAGCACTGCCACCTCTACCAACACCAGAACGGCTCAGCTGTTTCTGTTTACCAAACAAAGGAGCCAGTTCAACGGTGGGCCGCGAACTGCACGTTCCTGTGTAACACACGGTCAGACATAGAAGACGGTGGTCAACCCCCTTTCTGATTATTTTCTTTCTTCTATTTGTTGGATTGGCTCCAAATCGTTATTGTTAATCCCCAAATCATCATTTAGTGTGATACGTTGATCTGACATATGGACAATTAATTAATTAATCATTTCACTTTCTAATATTATTATTCGAGTGAATTATATCACAGTCTTTTTCTTAAGACACTACGCTGCTGATGCGTTCCTATCGTGCAATCAGTGGAGTAGTAGTAGTAGAAGAAGAAGAAGAGGAAGAGGAAGTGGAAGAAGAAAGGGGGAGAACATTTGTGAGGAACTAAGTGCAAAAATACAAGAGGAATAAGACACACAGCAGTGAGTAGAAGAGATGGAACGTGTTAAACTAAAAATAAAATGGTCCAGGGACAAGTCGAATGAGAGAACATCATCTCTTGTTCTTCTTTTTCTTCCTCCTCCTCTTCTTCCTGCTGATGCTTCCTGGTCCTTGACCTAATTTCCATAGTTACCTCATACCCATCCGTAATTCTTACCATTTATTTCGAGTTTGTTTGCACACATTGATGACCCCGATAATAATAAACATAATAATAATCTCTGTAGAAATATATTTTCTTCTAAACTTAACTATCGCGAATTATTAGGTAAAGATAAGATAGTTTTCAAGCAACAAAATCTTGTTGAACATTGTCTCATGAAGGTTAATTTTTATTATTATCAATATTTAATTCGTTAATATAATTTATTATTATTTTATGAAAATATGTTTAGTAGGATATATATATATATAAGACTGAATTTAGTTGGTTAAACTCTCTAGTTCGTGATCGGAATCATTTTTAACCAGGGATCAGAGTGTACGGTTGACTTTAGATTGTGAGAGGCGATGAACGTGGGTTCTTTTACAGTTAGAGAGAAGTATACTCTCTTTCTCTTTGCATGATCGCTCACACACGCACACACACACACATATATAAACTCATTTATGTAGACATTATACATACGAAACATTGCAACACGCACAAGGATAATCGTGAAAATACAAATATAAGATGAGATAAATATTGTAAACGAGTTATTTTCGTTGGTGGATTGATTTTGATTGGTTCTTACTGGTTTATCCCAGCAACCGTGTATCTGATTTTAGATTGCACCTATTTCATGAAAACACAACTAAACAATTAATGAAGGAAGAAAGAAATAAAAAAGTAATAACAAACGTGTCAAGCACAAGAGCATCGATTGACAAGTTAGTCTTTTAACGCTTTTAACGATCCCAATTGGTCAATCAAATTTATTCTTTTTTTTCATACCAATGATAGAGACAAATCAAACAACAACAATAACAAAGATAAAATATATACAAAAGGAATGGAAAAACAATGAATTATTCCAAATAAATCAAAGGAAAAATAAATAAGATAATGCATAGATAATAAATAGGTATATGATACAGGAAATAGAAAGGTATTTTACGGAAAAGGGATAGAACGAAGGGTTGAGAAACCAGTAGAACAGAGAAAGGCATCGTTCGTTCGATATTCTCGACGGGAGGAAACGTGTGCGCTTTAACAGTTTGCGCAGCGATCGGTGAGCGTTCTTCTACTACGTTGTATTATATCTTTCTATCTCTATCTATCTCTATCTATCTATCTTTTTTTCTCTCTATCATATTTGTGTCTCTCTTGTATATACATTGTATCTTGTCGTTTGTCTACTCCTTCTATCTAACTATATGTATACTCAAAGTATATTACGTAATCGCGATTTACGAGCTTATCAGCTGCGAAAAAGACAAACCTCTTCATTCGTTTATCTCTTTCTCACTCATTCTCACTCTCTCTCTCTCTCTCTCTCTCTCTCTCTCTCTCTCTCTCTCTGTGTTTCTTTTCCTCTTTTTATTTTTTTTTATTCGAAGGAAAATGCGTTTGAATTTCACACGAATGAATAACGTCAGACAAAGAGAGTCTCACTCGTACCTCTTCTGACAATTGCGTCGTTCGTATTGTGCATATATGCACGTAGGTTTCTCTCTCTCTCTCTCTCTTTCTCTTTCTTTCTTTTAGACACGAGGGCAGACAAGCATGAAGACAGAGAAAGAGAGAGAGAGATAACAAGGTCGAAAAAGAAACTGAGGATATAGTCATTAGATTCTCATGTTCATACGTTTTCTTTCTTTCTTATTCTTATTCCTCTTCGTTTTCATTTTCTTTGAAACATTCATGACGATGATGATTAGGATGATTAGGATGATGATGATGATGTTAATGTTAAAATCATTAAATCTGTTCATCTTCATTTTAAATTAATTTCCTACACAATTTTTAAAATTAATCGTAATAGTTGAATAGTTGATAGTGAGTTTTATCATTCGTGATATTTTTTCTAATTAAATGAAAGAGAATTTGTTTTTAATTCAGTTTTGTGAGAATAGGAGATAAGTGTGTTTTCTTTTTTTGTTTATAGAAAAAAATAAAAAAATAAAGACCTCGAGAGATAATTCAAGTGCAAATTTCAATGATAAAATAATTCCGCGTTTTATATATGTGTGTGTTGTGTGACTTTGTTCTTTTCTTTTTACGAGTGGAAATTCCTCTTACACGAGAGAATTATCATTTCTTTTATGAAGATTATTATATAAAACAAATATTTTTTTCTTTTTTTTTTACTTTTAATACTCGATATATAATACAACGAGTAAATGAAAAAAAAAAAAAAAAATAATAAAAGGAGAGAATAAAAATGGAATGTTGTATGTAATTTCGTTGATAAAATAATCGTACAAATATAATCGAAATCAATGATTGTCTCGTATATTTAACGATTAATAATTTTCCATTCGCTTGTCACTAAATGATTGCAAAACGAATTGCGCAATAAATATCTTTGATAATTATCTATATGAATTGATATTAATGTTAAATATATAAAGTTGATTAAAATAATAAATTGCAAGAACTATAATTTATCGATTCATTTTATAATATATATACTATTGTTAATATAAAATAAATGGATAAAAATCCAAATTTTTCAATTTTATCTTCGCATAAGTTATCGGAAAACAAATTTTCAACAAAGTTTTCCACAATTTTCATCAGTCTGATTCTTTACGTCAATAGATACTTCAGTAAAACGTCCAACACACACGATACTAACTCCTTAACATAATAATAGTAGTCTAATCTCGTATTTTGTTAGTCAGTCGATCACGTTATAGTTCCCAAAACAGACCTCAACGACTAAGGTGATTGCATTACGCATTCGGTTAGATGAAAATTCTGTTTAGACGTACGAAATACGTTGAGTTTAACGTTTACATGAGGTATTTAGCACGTTCAAACTAAAAATATACGCTACGTTAGAAACTAGCATCGTGACATTATGCGAATCGTTGATCGTCAAATGCATATAGTATGAAAACGTTTGTATTTTTCTTTTCTTTTTTTTTTGTGAATTAATTATAAGTTTATTGTTAATCTAAAATACGATCATACGAATGAATGTTCATCTTCAAATGTATTATTTTCTTCAACGTTAGCGTCTCTTCAATTATTCTCGATGTTTGACCATGAGATCTTACCTATATATACAAACGTACATTTAAATACATGTTATTCGTTTCGTATGTATACGTTAAACATGTTTAACATATCGAATCTTTCAAAAAAAAGACGCATGTACCACACGTGTCATTTATTTATTTATATACGTAGATACTATCATAAATTATTTGATTTTTAACCAATAAAATTGGTTTAATTGGTTTTTTTATAACCAATAAAATTGAATTTTTTAAATATCTGCACACGTAGTATAGTATAGACAAATTTTTATTTATCGATCAAACGAATAAAAATAGAATCATTTGTTTTACACGTATCTGACGTTTGATTCTTTTCTTTATTTTTTTATTTTTTTTTTTGTATTTTAATTATTTACAATTAAACGTAGAATTTCTTATAAATAATATTCCATCAATCAATAGGAATAAATAAATTCATTCGATATATTTTATTATCGTTCGTTCAAATTTAAATGAAACTTTCGAAATAGGATGTTACGATCGATCGCGTATATAAATAATATATATATCAGTATATAGAAATTTTTTTTTTTTATATATATATAGTAGTTACTAGTCGATAACGATCGAACATCGCGTTTCGTGTCGAAAAGTACAAAGTTCGATAAAAATTTATGATTAAAAAAATAATAAAGAAAAAAGGAAAATGTTTTAGAGATAAAAAATTATGATTAATTATCAATCGTTTGTTTTACTAAGAACATTAAGAACATTTCATTCGTATTTAATTTTGATTATCATATCGTCCTATGATTATAATTAAATATCAATAATTAAACTCTATATAAATTTAATGTTATTAATTTCATTATTAATTCTTAGATTCTCTCTCTGAATGAATAACTATAATTAGCATTAGGGGGAGAGGGGGGGGGAGGTGTAATATAGTTCGTTCAGTCTAATCCAAGTTTAAAAGATCAATTCTCGCGAATTTTAGACTCCCTCGTCCTAGTTTCACTTTTAACTTCTTAATAGTAACTCTTTCGTGCATGACGTAAATTCTTTGCTCGATATTATTATTAGAAAACAAAATAAATAAATAAAAGAAGAAGAACAAAACGATAAACACTATGTTTGTGTATTTGTAATATTTTAAATAAAATTTTCAATTTAATTTTAATAAACGTGATTACTTTCCTTATGAGAGAAACGATAAAAATGATTTATAAAAAAATAGAAAAACATAGAAAAAAAATGAACAAACCAAATAAAACCGGTTAAAAGGAGTTAAGTATAATAATTCTTGATATTATCCATGTATCAGAATGTTAACTATCTAACTTTTAACACGTTCATGTCTTTGTTATAAAAAGTAAACGGATGTTCTTTTACGAATCTTTATTATTTTATTCTTCTTATAGAGAAAACCACTACGTAAATTATTAGAATGTATTAAAATGACAGTGAAAGTTGGTCTGCCAAAGTTGTTAGTTGTAAGCATCGAAGTACTTGCAATGCTTGTGTAACCTTTAAATCACAGTATCTTGGAAACTCTCAAGCGTGACCGTCATAGTTGTCATCTTGCACAAGAATACCATCTATTTCTTCTATCTATCAACTTTAAACATCGGTTTAACAATATTTTGTATTTCTAATTTGGACGAATGGTAAAAAGAAAACAAATTTATATATATTTTATATAAAATTAATATAAATATTTTTATATTTATATTTATATAAAATTATATATACACACATCATATATATAGAATAACGTTTTTTAAAATAAATTCCTTTTATCTAAATTTTAATATGAACATTTATTGTTATT